TTACTGCTATAGGTCACGCATCCCAGAAACTCACCTACAGATTTCCGTGACTGGTAGCTAATTAGTAGACAAGGGGAGGTGGGAAGAAACGCGTACTTACTGGTCAGCATCTGTTTCATACAATGATATGTTTTCGCCCTGTCGTAGATTAAAATCGTCCACAAGGCATATGCAGGTAAAAATATTGAGCAAACGTACATTTTTGCATCGCCATCCCTTCCGTCTTTAATACTGGCTTAATCCACCTCTTTATAAAAATGACTAGCGTGAGCCAGAACAATTCAAAAATAATGTTATCGCCACGAGGCGACTGGTAGTTTTAGTTTCTTGTTTTTTATGGCAGCGACACAGCTCCTTAGGTGAGTGAGTGTATCACAGTTATGTTGGGGAGCACATCACTTCTCTTTTAAACCAGCGCGCGCGTTAAACGCCTCTTTTGTGACGAATTTTGCAGATGACATGTTAATCTATAACGTATGTTGGAGATTAAAATATTTAGAACGTTAATCAGTACACAAATCTCATCCATGCATACGCATTGAGTTTGATACACTTTCTGCGAGATTCATAAACACAACTATACTTACGGTCTTGGCAGTTAAACTCAATTCGAAAGTAAGCAATCACAGAATATTCAGATAAATTTGCTTATAATGCATCCTTAGCCCCAGATTGCCCGACCATCTGTATTAATCAAAACACCTGCCTAAGTCAATCGAATTTCCTATCATTAAATGTTTTCAGATTCAGCCTTTCATAAAATTTGCTAGTTTATGTCAGAGCTTGTGCATCAGTTGGCCCAATTACAAATTATCGTGACTGGTAGCTAATCAAGATACAGGGAAGGTGGACTGAAACACAACCTTATTATCCAGCATCTATGTCCTACTAGGTCAATTTAAACTTGGTATAATCGCCATGAGGTTACTTTTAGCTTTTGTTCAGTGCAAAGTTTGCTTTAGGAAAATTACCACCCACCTCAAAACTCTAGCGCATGAATCCGCAGCTGTTCATTAAGGAGATCTGCAACATGCGTAATTTTATTGGGGAAGACTTCTTGCCAAGCCTTCCTAAATAATACCAGACCGGAGATGCTTAGATTTGATGTAAATATTCATGGTGCGTTGTGGTAAGGAATTGAATTTTTTACTCCTTCTGCTACCACAGCTAACTCACTCAATTGCAAAAATCTCAGTCCAAATGTTGTTTTGCAAACAGGCTGTGGAACATCGGTTTTTTAGACTGAGATCTTCGGTGCAAATGGCAGTGGAAGGTTTCCCAGGTGCTTTCTCCTGCTTTCTTTTAGCATAGCTGTCCAGACAGGGCTTTTCTGAAGTTTTTGCTTCGGTTTGTGGTTGGCTTAACGGCGAATTCTCAACCAACAACCTTGACATTAGTAACGGTATGCTCTATTAAATTTTTGGAATAATTATCTACACACTATGCTATATTTTTGCGACCTACAGTTAAGACCTGCGTGACTTCTCCTAAGCGACCTGAAAAAAAACACCTTTTAATCTTGTTCGTACTAAAGTAAACTATCCCCATTGAGGTAAAACGCAGATGAGATTACAGAAATACGATCAAGTTTCCTCCAGCCAGATGTTTTTGCGACCATTTCTTAGAACACAAGATGGTCGCTGTTAATGTTCTACTTACGGTAGAGGGAGTACAAAAGAAGATGATGGGGCTATTTAGTCAGTTAAAGCAAAAATTATCAACAAAACCGTCAATTGCCACAGATGAGGGACACAGGGATGATCGTTTTATCCCGAATTTTGTCATCGATCGGACATACGGCAAGATGGGAAGATGGGATACCTGTAAGCTTCGCTGTTGGCCATTCGGCGCCTTCACAGGTGGTGCGTAGTGTAAGAACCGTAAGCGAATTTTAATTGTGAAATAAGTAAACTCTCGAGTTTGGGGAATAGGCAGCCGCGGATCAGCGGCGACAGTGCTATCAAGGTGCGTTGGGCTGGAGTCTCA